CTTTTGATACGAGAATTAGGGTGTCATTAGACCCAATCTGAATGAATAGTATGATGTTCACACTGAGAAGTCTAGATGGGTCAAGCACATCCCACTGGCTGGCACTCCAGACAGGGAAAGTGAGATTCCATGGTTTGCATCCCATTAGAGCCATGGGTACGTAAATTTTCAGAAATAATGGTCAACTCCAACTATCTGGTCTGACAAGAGCACCGCAAGAATTAGTGGTGGGTGATATTGAGCAGCTGCCCTCCTCGTTGTCTATCACTTCAAAATTAGGGATGGTTAGCATAGATAGCCCCGTGTGTAGTTTTGCCCAAAATCCTAACAAAGCAAATAAACACATCTAGATTCCAAGTATATCAAAATATAATTGTTTTAAACTAGAAAAAAAGAGAGATTGAGAGAGAAATTTGTATCTTAAAGTTGGACTAATGTTGGAAAAATTTATAAGAATGGCAGAAAAAAGGGACCGAAATTGTAGCGAACCACACTTTATAAACATTTGTACTTGGCTGGCTTGAGTATAGCTTAGTGAGAAGGCATTCAGTTGGTAGCATGTAAATGTGAAGAGGTTTCATCAAAAATTTATTCAATAGATAAAGTAAAATTCGGCCTTCAAAGTGACATCTGCATTCGAATCAGAAACATATCCTCCACAACTCCAGTTCAGGGAGAAGAAAAAGGACCAAATATCTTATTACACAAGAAGCTTTCACTTATATTTTTTTTTCAAAAAAAAAAAACAGTTCTGGTTATAGTTTGAACAGTGATAATTAAGTTAGCACAAATAAGTACCCAACACCATATTTACATAAATAAACAAGGAAATCCCCTTATAGATTGTGTTCTTCTAAAGATAAATAGCTTAAATGAAAGCAAAATATGCATTGTCATTTTATGTTAGTTTTGTGTGCAAGCTATGTTATATTCTGATAGTAAATTCCAATTTCTTCTAGGGGTAACATCATAGTTTACTAATGAACTATTTTCATTGAATTATACTTTGTTAGAAGAGCAGTACAATACAAATTTGCTACTGTAACACAATAACGATTATGTTTTTTTTACATGTCGGAAAAAAAGCAAATTGCTGTATTTGGTTTCGGAATCATTATACAATGGAGTCCATAGTATTTTAGCTAATTTTGTTTAACACCTCTAAATGCCTAATATATATATTTGTGACATGCAGATATATTACGTGTTCCCTACCCCCTTATATAATATAAACAATTTCAACATATTTATACATATTGTATGTGTATTCTCAATAATGAATATTGGTCTAGTGAGCCATTAATTTCCTCTCGTTCTAGTTACTTACTAAACTGGGTCATTCAAACTTGAGTGTCACATGAGCTTTCTATTCCTGTAATAGATTTTCTTCCCCACTGGGAAGTAAGGTGATTCCTCAAGGATACAATATCTCTTATTCTGAAGTGAAAGTGGCTGTCAGTCATGTTAGTAAAATCTGCATCCTGAAGAGAATGGTATTTTTGTTTTTAGTATATAAGACAATGCTTTCTCAGTCTATGACATAGTTTTAGAGAGATAGAGACGATTGAACTGATTGAAATGATATGATTATCCTCTCTAGTAAAGGAGCCCAAGAGATATACGTGTTTTAAACCTTGATTGGTGTTTGTTGGAAATACATATTTTTTTATTGTGTTTTACTTGCTTTCAGCCAATTTGTTTGCTGCAAACGCAGTGGAGATCAATAAGTCAGATTTTTTTATCTGCAATGCATTTTTTGGCCAGTGTCTTGTTATTTGTAGTCCTTGCGAATTGTTCTAAGGGAAATCAGTGGATCTTAGAATAACACACACTACTATGATTCGTTTGTTTGACTTTCAACACAAAGCTACACAATGAGCTATCTGCACTGTGCCAACCATGGGTATCTAAACCCGATTTTCAACAGAACGTAACATTGGTCCACCTAGGTTGTCCTATTCACTATATTAAACTAAACTTTTATAAAAACACCCCAAACCCAGCTCTTATTATTCAAATATTTATCAAGCTTTCCCTTAAACTCTTTTAAATTAATTGTCTCCACCACATCCAAAGGTCAACTACCCTGTTAGAAAAATAAAGTTGTCTTAGCTGAAGATGACTCCTACATTGCAAACATTTATATTTGTTCCTCTAGTCTTACCATTCTCACCATTAACTATGAATAAACATGATGCATTAACACTATCAGTTCCCTAACAATCTTAAACACCTCAATGAGATCTCCTCTCTCAAGTTCAGAGCTCATAATATGGCTTCATCAACATTTTGGTTTGTATGGTACATGAATTGTCATAAGCAAGTGAAATTATATATGTTAGTTTTAATACACGTGGTAGTAAACAACCTGTAATTATTAAAGGGAGTTGTTCATTGCAAGAGTTCAAGAACACTTTAAAACCAAAATGTTTAAATTAAGTTTTGTTATGTTATAGTAATACTGAACACTTGAAACATAGAAGATGACAAAACACTAGCACATGAACTATAGTTGACAAGGCTGAATGTAACAGGGCGATATGAGAAAAGAAGATGAAGAAAACTGGATAAAATAAGCTAATGTGGTAAATGTAGGTGACAAGAATACATAACAGTTTAACAAACAGAATCATAAAGAGCTTACAGCTCTCTCTCTCTCTAAACATTCTTTAAGCCTTGCTGCTGGCAACAATCTTCCCAAGCAAAGAATTTAGTCTTCTTCAGCAGCAGAAAACAAAAAAGCTTATGTCTAATCATTTCAGATCATTATTCTTGCTAGTTAGCTTTCCATTTACATGTGTCTATGCACTCTCACTCCAACAGGAAGAGAAAAAACATACGCAGCCAAGAGAATGGCGCACACAAGCCAGAGCTGACTATTAGGAGACACTTCTTTCTAGAACATTTTTCCATTAGTATACAACCACAATACAACATTTCAGAAACTGTCTAGTTTATTCTATACCTTAATAGTCATACAGGTTTATCCTATGAAGGGCGAGTCTCTGATAATGTCTGCATTACCACACTCAAATAGCGTATCTTAGTCACTACAGCATCTTTCAGACTTTTCTGTGTGACAGTGCTTTACACCAAGAACTTGCCAGTCATAATGTTACAACAAATGTCGAAATTAAAAATCACTATTGCACACTTAATAATCTATAAAAATTGTTCACTGTGTGAAGAAATCCCATAACTTATTGGATTTAACGACCTTTTTCTGAAATGAAATTGAAACGAAATGGAAAAGCCTTTAAAATTGTTTTTAGTTCGATTTAACCCATTTGTTGGGAAGAATTGTCTGCAATTGATTCACATATATCAAAGACCATTACTGTGGCAAATAAAACATCCAGGCTAATACTAAAGATGCTTAATCAGATTGAGATCTAGTTATTATGCTAGCCAAGAACGTTGATTAAAGGCACTAAATGTACTTTGAACCAATTCCAAACGATGTGAATGCGATAAATTGTTGCATTATCATCCCGACAAAGCCTTTAAAGTGAAAATGTAACATTTTGGGGTAGATGCGATTAGTAACCACATTCAGGTGCATTTTGAATCTTACTCATCCTTACTAAGAAATCAAAGAACTCATTTTTTCCTTTAGCTCTTCCCGTGCACTACCTTACACTTTTACACTGCCTTAATGACATGCGCTCTTGTAACAGCACAAGATCAAGTGCCTTCTGTGTTTGCCTTTTTTTACATTTTCAAAACAATAAATGATAAACTATAACTTGTCAAATAATATATCACATGCTTATAGCCTTTAAGGGTATAGTTTGTGTTCTATGCACCGTTTTTGAGTACCTCGAACAATATTTTTGAAATATTATGCTTAATCTTTTTTCTGAACATTGGCCTGGCATGTAGTTAGAGCGCTCGACTCGCAATCTGCAAGTCGCGGGTTCGAATCCCCGTCCCACCAAACATGCTCGCCCTTTCAGCCGTGGGTGCGTTATAATATCACGGTCAATTCGTTGGTAAAAGGGTAGCCCAAGAGTTGGCAGTGGGGGGTGATGATTAGCTGCCTTCCCTCTAGTTTTACACTGCTAAATTAGGGACGGCTAGCGCAGATAGCCCTCGTGTAGCTTTGCGCGAAATTAAAAACAAACAAACAATTCTCTGAACATATTTCATTAGGTCTTTATTAAAGGCAGTTAACACTGAAATGAATGTTTTCGTTCATAAAACAAAATTTTTTTAAATCATTGGTTGTCTATATGTACGTCAGTAAAAATGAAATATTAACAACAAGCTATTTTGACGCATCAAACTTAAAATTAGTACATAGTATTACCATAAACTTTTCAGCATCTCTGAGGAATTGGGCTGGGTGTGACCTAGACGTTAATGTATCAAGCTGTTCTTCATATAGAGTCCAGGTAGTTAGAGAAGTGATGCCCCTGAACGCCTTCCACACTTTCAGCCGTGGGTGTGGTATAAAGGTGACAATCCCGTTTTCTAAAGAGCCGATCGAAGCCCTTGTAGTGGTGGGTGCTGTCCACTAGATGCATTTCCTCTGGTCAGTATTTCACAATTAGGAACAGCTATATCTCAAACTCTAGAAATTTCTGACCTAGCTGTTTAGCCCACACATGCATAAGGTTTTCGCTCAAGCTGAAAATTCGAACTTGTTCACAATATCTAAAGTTGGTGGTTAACCAGAAATATTCTATTTGTTTTGTTATAAATAAATACTTTATATAATGCTTATTTTAATTTGATCTGTTTAACACTAATAGGATGTTTTTGTTTTGTTCAAGGATATTTTTAAACTCGTACTCGCATATCTATGTTGTGTGAAACTAACTTAACTTGTGGATAAAATAAAATTGAACAATGGTTTGTATTTTCCTTCTTTGCGTTGTATGTGTTTATCCATGTTTTGAAAATGATCTAGTGTAATTGTTTTTATTTTATATCAATACAAATTTAACTTAGCTTACAACCTACTCAGTATAGATTAACTTATCCATTTTCCTTTCCAGATGTTTGAAGATGCTTTGGATGAAGGTGCTGCGTCGTAAGTATGACCATATCTTGTGTATGAGAATGTTTAATTTTTGTGTGTAAAAGGAAACCTCATTATGCTTGCAGATGGTTTTTTTTCTTTATGAATAAAATTAAGAATTTCAATTCACAGAATATGTTAACATTTGAACATCATATGTACTTTATGTGTGCTATAAGTCACTGGCAAGGAGGTATATTATTCGACATCAGAACTCATCACCTTGTTTGTTTTAGTGCAAAGCTACAAAATACACTATCTACGCTCAGTCTACTGAAGGGAATCGAACCCTGATTTTCGTGTAGCCAGTCTTCTGTCATCAAAAAAGTTTATCTGAAATGCTATTTTTATGTGATACTGTGTCTCTATCTTTCCCTTGTGGTATTTACAGGTGCATTGATTTCTCTTAGAGCAGAGATTCTCAGCTTGTGGTTTGGAGATTCCCTTCAGGTGGTCCAGTAAACGGTTGCATAATCTTGGAAAGAAGTGGCAGCATAATGTTTAGATTCCATTATGGTTTGCCAAGAAAAAGATTCAGGTGATCTGCAAACAAAAAATTTTAAAGCTACTGAATTAGAATAATTGGGTAGGTTTGACAGAAAAGGTTAAGAAGAGTTAAAACGTTTCCTCTAATTTTGGCTTAATCGTTAAAGAAAATGGCTGGATGTAGTGGGTAACAATGTAGGACAATCTTTATTTATTCACAAAACAACTCTGATGGTGAATGCACTATAGGAGTAATGGACAAACCACAGTATTTGGCCATACAAAGATAGCTCAATAATTGGCAGTGAGTACTTATTCACTAGCTGCATATTCTATAGTATATCAGAGTAAAATTAGAAATCGCTATGCATAGATAGTTTTCGTGCAGTTTAACGTAAAAATGTGCTCCCTGCAGAGGTGGGGCAAAATTAGGGAATGCTTTTTCTTAAACTGAACCCATTACTTCAAAATTAGTATTAATGTATATGAAGTCATTCAGAACAATATTTTAGTTTGTGGTGTTCAAAAAAGTTACAAGTCTCTTATGACTGAATTTACTGATTAATTTGAACATTGCTATGGAAATGTAAAGAATCTTCAAAAACGTATTTGTTATATTTTCAAAATTTTCATACTGGTGTCTTCAACTAAGAGATCAAGGGGATTGGGGTGATTTCAGTATTGGTTTCACAAGTTTTAAATGAATATTGGCTCGGTCTTGTAAATAGTTAAACAATAATCTATTTTTGTATTTTGGAAACTGGTTCGATTTCGCTCTCCACATAAGGATAAATGAATTTTCTTAGGGTGTTCAAGATTGGCTGTATGGATTTACTTAAAAATTCATCACAATAAGATGTAAGCGACCATTCAGAATCCGGTAACAGTAAGTTGTTTGTTATTGAGCATTTTTATAGGTAACTTACTAGTTCGTTATAAATCTGGATAACATTTCTGTAATTGGAACTGGAAGCCGTGTATGATAGTATTACGCCTCCAGTCGTTAGTTGATTTTCCGTAACTTTGTTCCGACGAAACTTTAGCGACACAAGTCCTTACTTAATAAAACTGGTTTATTCTTTCTGAATATAACTTTACCGATACACTTATTTTCAACAGTCGCTCTATAACAAACGCTATAACAACGAACGTTAACTTCAACAATACTTTCTGACTGCAGTTCAATTACTCACTACCTACACACATTGTCCCGTCACGTTGTGACCATCCTATATATACCAGACCACCCCCAATCTAGCAAATGCTAGAGCATTCCCGAAGGAACAGGATAGTTCTAGAAAATAGGTGGCGTGACACCAGTCACGTGACCTCGCTGACGCAACAATAGTTTAATGTAAGGCTTATCTACTAGAGGTAACTGAAACGAAATGTGATCAAGTATACCATAAAGTATTTTAAAAATAAAGCGAGTATAATCGCACACACACAAACATTTGTATATTCAAATTACAATAATATATATTTTCTCTAATTTTATGTTTTAAACACTTGATTTCCTGAGTAATAAAATTTCATTAATCAACATAAATATTTTCGCGATTAAACAAGGCCACTTTAATCTTCCTTTTAATGTTACTCAGTGTTACTGTTAGCGTTAGGTCTGTCTAACTCATCCACTGGACGACGGAAAGTAATTGTGAACCTTTTTATAAAGGTTGTTGGCTGTATTTTCAAAGTTTTTAATTCAGATGTTAGCTAGAGGGCGCATGATATTAGAGTAGGCCTGTAATACCTAGAATGTTCTAGATGACATCACAAAAGTCTAGAATATCTGGAAATGAGGCAGCAAATATAAATGCAATGGGCCAGTCAGTTAGTCAGCTTGCACTTTGCAGTGAATCATTGTATTTCTTTCAATTAGTATAGTCAGTTATTTATTCAGTAAAGTACTGTTACGTCTCTGGTCGTTAGTTAATTTTCCGTAAAAATTCTTTCCGAAGAAACTTTAGCGATACAAGTACTTTCTTAAATAAAACTGGTTTATTCTTTCTGAATACAACTTTGCAATACATTTAATTTCCACAGTCACGCTATAACAAACTCTATAATTCACAACAAACGTCTCACGTGTTCGACTCAACTGTCAATTACACATTGTTGCCATCACTTATTGGCGGCTTATATATACAAGACTACCGTATATCTAGTAGCCTCTCGAGACTTCAGGAAGGGACGTGTACGTTCGAGAATATGACGTGTTACTAGCGTCACGTGACCCCCGCTGTCGTAACACTGCCCCTTCCTTAGTATTGTTCGTCCCGAACAATAGCCACTTACATTAAACCAATAAACAATTAAAAATAACTTAATTAAATGTACAGAATTTACAAACACAAAATTAAAATTCAACAAAGTCTCTTAATTTTACGGGACATGTCTTCTATGGTACTGGTCTCCGTCTCGTTG